ACCAAACAGAAATGAGCTTCAGAGAGATGAGAGAGGCACCCAGAAAGGCAGGCAGATGATTCTCCTTTGAACCACACTTAGGAATTTGAACTTTATCCTGAAGACAAACAGGGGAAATACTTAAAGGCTTTAAGTTGGGAAGTAACAAGATTTGAGTCTTTTTAGGTTTCCTTTGGCTGCCTGGTGGAGAAAGAATTGGAGGGAGCAAGACAGGAAGTTGACACACTAGTTAGGAGGTTGTTGCAGTAACTCAGCTCAAGAGATAGAGGCTCTGGAGGATTGGGTAACAGCAGTAGGAATAGGGATAAGTCAGAGGTTTGAGGAAAGAGATTCTAGTGGTAGAGCAACACTTGGGCTTATTACTTGGGGGTGGGGGAGCCAAAAAGGTCCCAGTTAAACTCCCAGGAGTCTGACTTGGACAACTGCAAGAGGCTACCATACTGAGATACAGAATGCTGGAAGCAGCACTGTGATATTTGGAGGGGATGAACATAGTAGACCCTAAACGTGTATTATTTTTTTCTTCCTTCCTTCCTTTCTTTCCTTTTTTTTTTTTTAAGTCAGGGTCTTACTTTGTCACCCAGGCTGGAGTGCAGTAGCACTATCACAGCTCACTGTAGCCTTGACCTCCTGGACCCAGGCATTCTTCCACCTCAGCCTCCGAAGTCTCTTGGACTACAAGTGTGCTCCACCACGCCAGGCTAATTTTAAAACATTTTAATAAGAATTTGGAGTCTCACTCTATTGCCCAGGCTGGAACGCAGTGGGACACTCATGGTCACCGCAGCCTTGGCCTGCTGGGCTCAGGTGATCCTTCCACCTCAGTCTTCCAAGTAGCTGGAACTACAGGCACATGCTACCACGCTTGGCTAGTTTTTATGATTTATTGTAGAGACGAGGTCTCACCAAGTTGCCCAGGCTGGTCTTGAACCCCTGGGTTCAGGCAATCCTCTCACCTCGGCCTCCCAAAGTGCTGGAATTACAGGCTAAGCCACTGTGCCCAGCCTAAAAACATTTCTTTTAATAGATGAGGCCTCACTATGTTTCCTAGGCTGGTCTAGAGCTCCTAGGCCCTAACCACCCTCCTACCTTAGCCTCCCAAACTGCTGGGACTACAGACGTGAGCCCCTGCATCTGAACTTTTCCATCCTTAACTCTAGGAAAGACCCAAGAATGGACTCCAGGGCTGGACACCCACTTCCAAACCTCCCGCCATGTTTTCTTGACAAGACTGATGGCTCCTGCTATGCTTTCCCTCCGGTCTGTCCATTCCTCCTGCTCTGATGATCCTCATAGCTTTCCCTTCCCTCTTCATTCATGCGATCGGAGCAGACCACATATTTAGGAGAAAGCCACAGTGAAAAAAGTTGTCATCAGCCTAAGGGTAGAATTTAATGATGACCAGACAAGACACATATTAATAATTGATATATATCTTTTTATTAGGCACAGATAAAGGACTTAAAACTGTGGTTATCAAAACTATACATCTAAGCATGTTCACAAGAGAGCTGACACACTGAACAGAGGAAAAAATACAACAGGGGTGTTCAAACTGGCCACAGGGATTTTAAGGGTACTCTTTTTACCCTCATAGACGATGAAAACATCAGGCTCATTCGGGAAAAACCAGAAGAGAGAAGTACTGTATTTGGAAACTGATAATAGTCCTTTTTAGAAAAACATCTGTCAGTTTCATGAACAACCCCCAGATAAAACAAACAGGAAAAACATCGCGTACAGGACTCACCAACAAAATGTGCTCTGTTCACACAACCAGCAGTACAATCATCATTCAAGCCATGAGGTAGTTACAGTACAAATAGACTGGCACATGTGTGTGTGCCCTACACACACTCGCAATCATGCCCGCTAAGAACACACGCAGAAAATGGCTTTACAATCTTATGACGAGACAAGGAAAAGACCATTCTTTTTTGTTTACAATATGCCATAGAAACAGTTTAGACAGAAGAAATCTCTGGCTTTTTAAAATATGGAGTAACAGCTGGCAAACACCACATGATGAAAAGCTATAGAGCATATGACACAGACAATCTGCCTTGGCGTTTAGGACATTTCCACAACAGCTTTAGCGACAAGCAGACAACACAAAATGGCCGCTGCAAAATAAGGGTGTAGCCTGCAGAAATAACACAAGACTTTGCAGATAGACGAGTTCAACTGAAATACAATAATCATTTCAAAGAAACTTGCAGAACATGTTATCAAAGTAGAGCTTGTATTTTGTATTTTTAAAACTGTGAAGTATGAAGCAATCAGAAATGCTGTAACAAGAAGCTAGGGAGGAAACACCCCATTTTTAAAGTTCATTTTTTAGAAACATTTCAGAAATACTTAATGACATTCACTCTCCAATATGAGATCAGGTTTCATCAACATGGATCTGAATAATTATTGATCTGAATAATACTTCTGACCATGCGACCCAAACAAATAAGAGGCGACTTTTTTTCTCTTTAAACAAAAAAATCTTTTGGTTTGCATCTATAAATTTGTAAATTAGTTTTAAATTATTTATAAAATCATTGGCAATGTAGAATCTCTCTTAAAAATATACATTTAAATATATTACAGAAGGTTTTAATCCTGTCCATCTAAGAAATGGATCTTTTAAAACTTCCTAATAGCTAATTTTCCTTTTAACAGGATGGAAAGGTTTTTTTTGTTTTTGTTTTTTGTTAAAGCAAAGGACTGATCAAAAGAATTCACAGTAGCTGAAATTAAACATTTCGTATGGAGTAACTTAAGTTTATCTAAAACACTTAAATATATCTTTATACACAAATTTTTGTAGTAAAATATAGCTATAAGTGACTTAAAGACTCTAGTCTTCTTTGAAGACATCTTTAAATTTTTTATACATAGAATATGCTAAAACAATACATTCTGCTGAAGGTTAGGAAAAGCGCATTATTTTAAAACACAGGTAGCGTAATCTAGGTTTTTTACTCTGATACCCTTACGTTAAAAAAAAAAAATTAAAGGAAAAAATTCTCTAATCTCACATCTTCATTTGTATGTGGAAACCTGAAAATTTTTCAATATATCAATGTAGATAGCCTGGGAGTAATTTGTTTTGGTTAAAATAATCTCTATTGAATGTCTACATCTATCAAATTAATCAGATACGATTCAGTCATTGGATAAATGTGATTGTCAATCTCCACTACTTGTTTGCAGCATAGAGAATGCCCCTAAGGTTTGGAGTTTCATCAACATTTCTTATTTGAGGTCTTATTCACAGAGAATCAGGCACAGCTTTCTTAACAACAGTGAGATTTGCTTAGGAATATTTTGGGGTAGACTCTCACTTGTCAACTTAGGAAATTCTAAGTCGTGTGGGGGAATTCTGAAATAAAAAAAAAAAGACTATTTTATTTGCAATGAAACTCTCTTTAGCAGTAAACGATTTGGCATGAACATTTCTCTTTGGCATTCTTTTTTAACATAGAGGTATCACTGAGCTTATTTTAGCTGCAAAGTGGCATCATATTATTTCATCTAATGAAATTCACCTCAACTCCTTTTTGAGTCTGAGATAAATTTAAGGCAAGAGAACTAAAGCAGTCCAAACGAGGGCCCTCTTCCACGTCTCAGCCTTGGCAGAAGGGTTGGCACCATCCAGATGGCCACCTGGAATCCAGCAGGATCTATCATGCATTTGCATCTCATGAGAGTTTGAGTTTTGGGGGGTTTTTTTTGAGTCGGAGTCTCACTCTGTTGTACAGGTTGGAGTGCAGTGGCACACTCACAGCCACCACAGCCTCAACCTGCTGGGTTCAGGTGATCCTTTCGCCTCAGCCTTCCAAGTGGCTGGAACCACAGGCGTGTGCCACCACACCCAGCTAATTTTTTTTGATTTATTGTAGAGATGAGGTCTTGCCAAGTTGCCCAGGCTGGTCTTCAACCCATGGGCTCAGGCAATCCTCTCGTCTCTGCCTCCCAAAGTGCTGGGATTACAGGCATGAGCCACCACACCCAGCTTGTTTGCTTTTCAAAGGGTCTATTTTTTTTGTTTAAGGTTGACACGTTTTGAGTGGAAACATCCTACCAAATACACTTAAGAATCTCTTCTTCAACTGAGAAAACAAATGTGCCAGATGACATATACTTGTGTACATATCTACACAGATTACTGTACAAAACTTTCCTGGACTTGACAACTGAATTTTCCCCTAATTTATACATTAATTTATCAGAACAAAATGTCAGAAGTGGGCACAGATCTGGTTCCAGATTTTGGTCATTTTCAATTTCTATGGGCCTATAAGAAATACAACATTTGCATTAAGACATTTTTGCAGTCGGTATACACCAGTATGGGAAACAAACAGGAAGCTGATAAGGTCATCAGCACTAGTTTTGGCCCAGGGCAAAATAAAGGAATGTTGCCTTGCCACCTGTCAGGATGCAGGCCCCAAGGGCTGCACCCATCAAGCCAACACCTCAGACCCCACAGGGGTGGCAGTAAGGTCAGAGGCGTGCACCCTGATGAAAGGTGCCTATGAGAGATAGAGGAACGCTCAGAAAGCCTTGAAGCATTTCTTGTGTTTTACGTCTTGGTTCAGAGAGAAAAGAATCTTTGGCCACATGTTCTCACTGGTTCTACGATCTGGCTATTATGCTTTCACCAACTGCCCGAGTGTGGGTAAAACTCAGGGCCCCAAATGATGGATGTTCTCACCTGGACAAAGCAGCACTTTAAAAACTGGCATGTGTTTCACATTGAAAACCCCCAAGCCTGTGAGGGGCTGGTGGAGAAAACCACCATCTTAGCTTTCTCACAAGAATTCTAGTGTGTTCCGGAAGTCCAGGGCCACATTTATATCAGCCCTGGGTTGGGGAGGGGGTGTGACTACAATGGGTGATCTTTATGCTGAAATTCACTCTCTCTTTGCAAGGGAACCCAAATCCAGCCTTCCGAGTGTGGACACGAGGCCGAGCCATCAGGCCCTG